CAAGTCGATCCTAGATTAAGAAAAAATAGGTAGAAGTTGACTCATAAAAAGTACCTGAAACCGACCCTTTTTGCCATATAAAGTTACTTTTTATAAGTCAACTTTTACCTGTTTTTCTTAATCTAGGATAAACTTAATTATTAAATAAATTTCTAAGGTATATGATTGAAGGTGCGTATACAAAAACCGAATTTTTTCGGAAACGGCTGATTTAATCGAAACAAATGAAGAGCACCTTTTTTGAAGAGAAATGGCCAAAGTATTTAAAAAATCAGTATTCTGCTGTGTAAAATGACTCCTGTCAAAAATTTGGCACAATGAATATGGTGGTAAGTCCGTTCCTGACTTCCCAGACTATGTAAAACATCTGCTGTAGGATGATTTTATGAGTCTTTATGGCCAACATAAAATATCAAAACTTCATTAAATTATACAAGTCGGTTAAAAAGTTAGAGCCAAAAATGTGGATCGCCAAGTACTCTTTTGGGGCTCTGTATCTCCGTTAAGGGGCACTTTAGGAAATTTTTTTTAGAACAAAGCAGGGTTATTTTGCCCCTTCCTATACGCTCCCGAGAGTATGCCATATACTTACCGGACACCCTGTATAACTACCTATACTATACCTATACTAATGGATCAATTATGTGCACATCTGTGAGCAAATCTATAAATTTCTATAAAAACTCGACCCTTTTTGAAATATTTGAAACTTTTTCAAAAAATCGCAGTTTGCACTAACCCAAAAAGTGGGACACTCGACTGACAGGTCTTGTAATTCTGCATAAATCAGTCTATTTTGCGTAAATCAGTCTTTTCTTTACAATGGATTTTTTGTCAAATATGACAATTCCTGTCATTGCCTTAGGTATAGCTGGGTGAACCCGTTTTACAATAGGAAAAAACGGGTGTCCCACTTTCTATTCTGTGCTCACGACTGATAATTTATTGCATAATATTGATCATGAATTTATTTACTGTATTGAAATCAAGCCAATAATCGGATTGAAATTTGAACCCATCACAAGTTACGAACGCCTAGGCTGTGACGTCATACCGGCTTCGGAAGTACAGTTTTAACACGTGCAAGAATTTTTCAAAACAAATGTCCACGATCTCATTAGAGCGAATGGCAACCACTCAAAGTATAGGGCACGGTTCACTGAGGACTGAACGAACGGGAGGCTGGCATTTCGGCGTTTAGCCGGTGTGACGTTACAAGTTTTCGCATAATTTATCTTCATAAAAAACATTCAGATTTCATGTATTCGAATGCAGGAAAATTTCTACATTCAAGTACTTTTTGAAATATTTGAAACTTTAAAAAAAAATCGCAGTTTGCATGTGTCAATGGTATCAACAAAAACCAACACATTCATTTGAGATCCTTAAGCTAAATCTTTTGCAGGCTGTTAGTGTGTATACTTACATTTACTTCATGGTCCTATGAAAATCTGATAACATTCTATAGGGTGTTCGCAATACTGTAACTGTACACAAAACCAGATATTTCAAACAACCATAGTTTTTTTTTCAAATGAAATACCTTTTATTTCACTGTATAGTAGTAGGTACAGTTGCGATAAAAAAAAAGTAGTATAAAAATTATTAGTTCCAATTTGAGCTCCCGGTGTAACATAAAAAATTTTGACAGGCAATGACATATTCTAGGTTAAAAACGGGTGGAAAAATGTCAAAATAATATCATCTGAAGCTTTCTAGGTTAAAAACTTGTCGAAAAATGCCAAAAATATGTCATTTTTGGTTATGAATTAAATTAATGTGGGAAATTTTGGAGATTTTCCTTGTACTACTTTTTTTTGATCGCAACTGTACGTCGATACTGGTGAGCCTATCAATTTATACAATGCCTTCTATGCTTTACTTTATAGAACTTGTCTTTTGTTGAAATTTTATTCTCAAGTGTTTAAAAAAAATCTTTGTTTGGGGGGGGTAATTACCCCCTCTACCCCCCCTTTAAACCGCCCTTGAGCTGTGGCAAGCTTTATCGGTCAAGTGATAACTTTCGGTCAATCATCCACCTGTTTTCTCCGGCGCCACCCTCGGGATTAACGTGGTCGAGGGTCCACGTGCACCAGGTAGCTTATTACAGTGGAGAAAGAAAAACCAGAGGTCGTGCGCAGGAAAAGAATAATTCAACATCAACTGAATAACATGTTTATTCCTTACAATTAATTAAACAGGAAAGAATAACTAAAATCTAACAGAGAAACAGTGAGGCGGGGGGGGGGGGGGGGGGGGGGGCAACGAAATATTAGAGAGCGTGTCGGTAGAACGGTAGCGGATGCGGTAACGCGTTACGGTAAGGTGTACGGTACGAGAGTCGGTAAAATTCGGAACAGTTCGGTAATCGGTGTAATACGGTACGGTTCGGTAATCGGTATGATACGGCACGGTTTGGTAATCGCCTTGATACGGTACGGTTCGGTAATCGGTATTATTCGGTACGGTTCGGTAATCGCCTTTTGCCATCAGCTCGTATAAGTGAAAGCTTTAAGCGCTTGCGTGAATAAAACGGAGCGGCCGAGCACAGGTTCTAATTCTCCACATTCCCAGACGAAGAGAGGAATATCGTCGTACGAGCCTGCACGACATTCCCCTAACCCGTCGGCGCAAAAAAAAAAATGGTGCCACTGGAAACCGATCCAGCCAGTGACCCCATTCCCCTCTTGTGGGAATGGCGAAGACGGAGACTATAGATCCCCGAAGGCATGAGGGATATCGTGGAACGAGCCAGCACGATAGCCCCCAAACCCTCGGCATAGTAGAGAATGGTGCCACAGAGTAACGAACCAGCCTGTGACCGCATTACTCTCATGCGTGGGAATGAACAAGAAAATACCTGTGCTCAAGCTATCATGGTTGGCTGGCGGACGGCGACGGTCTTCTGCACTACGAGCTGCCGGCGGTGGCGGTATAAACGGTTCGGAGAATTACCTTTAGAATTCGGTCGGCTTCGGCTCTGGTGGAACGGCAGGCAGCTTGTCTCCAGACGGTAGGAGTTGTCTCGATCGTCTCGCTGGAGCGACTCCTCGATAGAGGTGGGAAACTATCGAATGAAACTATCGATATATCGATAACTCGTTGCGGAATTAAAAATATCGAACTATCGATAATTTTCCCTAGACTATCGAATACTATGGAATTTTGTATTATTGAATTGGTAACACTGGGCGAATTCTTTTATTCATCGATGGTTCCATCTGCTGAAAGCATTATGAGACAGCCATTCCGATTTTCTATGAACTAGACAAAGATAGAAAGGTCATCAATGGAGCCATCGGTGAATAAAAGAAAGCGCTCACTGACTAGGATTGGTGACAGGTCGACAGATGATTCTGAATTCTGACAGGAGCGACGGAGTGACAGATGGCCGACGTAGGGGGACGCTACCATTTCGCGCCATTTCGGAAAAGTTATTCTCGAAGGCTGGTAATATTTTAAAGATTCAAACTTAAATCTAAAAATATAAATATGTTATTTATTAATCGAAATAAATGGTTGCTTTCTTAAAGCGTTGTAGTTATATAATGATTTTTGTACAAATACTATTATTAAAGTCTGTTTTTATTTAGATAATTCCCCAAGTCAATTTAGTAACTATGTTGGCAACACAAGCCTTTTCTACATGCAAAAATTGAAAGCATTGATAATTTTATCTTTAAAAAAAAAACAGACTTTAGAATCTTCAATTTTCATTTCAGTTCTAGGTTATATTTTTAAACTGATATATCGATAGATTAACCACTACTATCAAACTATCGATATTTTTTTAATTCGATATTTTCCCACCACTACTGCCAGAATCGACGGTGTGAAACTCGTTTTATTGGCGAGAAACAGCGCGTCAGAGCCTGCGTCCCGAAGTGATGCCGAGTCGACACGTGAATTTCCGATTTAGGTCGCGCGGACAGCGGTACTGGAAGGTGCTTTGCCGACAAGGTCAAGCGTCAAGGAATAATAAATATAAATTTGAATCGCAATTTAATTAGTAAGGAAAATTCCAGGAAGTTCATTACAAAGCCTACGCCGCTGTAAAAGCCCACAATATTATAAAGATGCTGAGTGAGGGATACTGCCTGGAAAAGTACCGTCATATCAAGGTTTCGCCCACACAAATGCAAGCATCAGCAGTATTTTAATATAAATACAGCGCGCAGAGTTCGCTGTTTCCATTCTCTTGTTATTAGCTTAGACGAGGCAATTAGAATCAAGATTCTTTTGTTATCGGCTATTGCCGCAGCAAAGCAAGTCTAGTATTTTTTTTGTAACTTCCTAGTTTTCAATAAAATAAATAGTTTACAAAAACAAGATTTACTGAACGAAAAATATAATTCGTAGGTCGGGTGTTAGATGTCAGCTGTAAGAAAGTGAGGTTGTGTGTTGTGTTAGGATTGTCCGGGAATTGTTTGTTTATTTATTTATCACTAGTTTAGTCATTGTTTAACGATTTTTTTAGATTATTGAAGTAACATCTACTAACCAAGTGTGTAGGTAAGGTCCGTTTCACCAGGGTTCATACTTGACCTTGAAACGTGAAAAAAAGGGTTGTCGTAGATTAATTCCTATGACACATTCAATTTTTTTGACAAATTAAAATGGATGACTTTTGATTTAAGAACCGACGAACGTTTTTGACGTCATTTATTTGTTTCAGTCAATTTTTATTTGTTAAACAAGGAAGGCAAATGCTGGTGGCAAGTACAAACCCTGGCGAAACAAACTTTACACTTATATTTTATTATAATTATTATAGGTACCTATCCCCTATCCTATCGTTGTAGATACAGTATATTTCTGTGTTGAATGACTTTAGAAACTTATCAATGCATATGTTACGTCAAAAAAAGTAAAAAATTCAGTGAGCCTATTCGACGCAAGACGCGATTGAATTTTAAAGAATAATTATTAGCAAAACAGCTCACATTCTAAGAATATGGCGTCCCTCATTGTCTCTCTCTTATACTCATTCGATATTTCAGTCTTACGTGCGAAGTTGGTAGGATCGAACCAAGGACCGCACAAAGCAGAGACGTAGAGCACAGGGTATCACACTGTCGACTTTCCGACGCACGCGACAGCGTATCGACAACACGCATTCAGGTATGTTTTAACATGTATTAAATACTCACTATGAAAAATTCAGAAACCAATCAACAGAAGTTAATATAGATATTCTTTTTAATTAGTCGTAAAAGTAAGAAATTTCTGTTGCATTTGACAGTGAATTACTATTAGGCATTGACCCCGGTTACAGGAGTTTTATTGAAAAAATAAATAACAATTAGTGCATCATTGTCTTATAATCATTGACGTCTCATTATATACGAATGTATAAATATTCAAATATTTTATGTTATAGAAGATGGGTGAAGAAAATCAAATCGTTGACAAATTGAAACGCAAAAGGGAATTGACCAATGCGCGCGTGAAAAAATACCGTGAAAGGAAGCAAATTGAATATCAGCGACTGAATTCTTCGAAGCAGGAAGACCCTAGAGTTCAATCGAAGATTGCCGAACGGAAGAAAGCAATGTCGAAGGAACGTTCGAGAAGGTATCGTGAGAGGAAACGTCTACTAAAATCTGTTCATCATGTGGTTCATGAGTCACAAATTCCTGGACCTTCGCGTTGAAATCCGCAAGATGCGTATTAATTAGGAAATCGATAAACTACGATTTATCATTCTCAGATTGCTGAAACATCCACAAATATGAATATTCCTCTTGTTATAGGTACGCCATGATTCGGGAAATTTAAATATTGATGAAAATCTTTCGTCATTAGGTACTAAACGATAAAAGTCAACCAATAAAAGATGATGATTCTGTTTTGGGGCCGCTTCTTTTCCTCCTATACAGGGTATTTTCTAAGTATGGTCCGTAACTTCAGGATGTGATTCGTAAAGATATTTCAAGAAAAAAAATTCCCATATGTCCAGAAATGCTTAATTTCTGGTGTTTGGTTATTCAATAAAGCAATGAAAAATACACCTTTCCGAACTGTTGAATCAACGCTCTGGTTAACTGACTAAGCGCTCTTTGATCTTTGAAAGCAGAAAGATTTTTAATCACTTGCCCGCTCATCTTTGCAACATATCGTCTACGTCTAGTGTTCAGTTGATCTTTAAATAATTCACTGATTAATAAGGCCTATTACGATTACGAGTTAGTTTTACGCGGATGCATTATGACTTTGCTTTACTGTTTGTCCACAAGTTTTTGCTAAGCATTTATAATTTGATGATCAATCGACTTACCTGTAAGGAAGGTTGATCAAAATTATATTTCGCAGCCTCGTCTCATATTACAAAACACCCTGTAGTTGCAGCCTGCTGCACGATTTGGTACGACGTTAAAAGCTGAAAAGAAAAAACCCCATTTTTTATCCCTTGCTCCCTTGCGCTCGTTCTAAATTCCAACTCAGCAGTTGAAAGTACCAGATCAGGTTGACCGCTTAGGGTATAGTCGCAGCGACGAGTTCTTAACTGAGACAAAATTTGAGTAACAGGCTGAAAATTTTATATCTGATGGTTTTCAACATTCTAAATCGATCTACGCATGAATTTTAACTATTAGTCCCCTGCTTAAGGGTGAAAAAAAAATATATAAGGGTTGAAACTCGAATATTATGCAGACGGATGAAAAATCGGGAAAAAATTCAAAACAAATGTTGGAGTTTGTAAAATTTCGCGAAAAAAACGTTTGAAGTTTTTCTCTCTATCATTTATCGTTAACCCTTTAGCTAATTTCAAAGTTTCGCTACCCACAAAAATGGGAGAAGCCCACCGGGCGCCACTGACGATGCCGCGCTCGGCAAATGCATAACGTCATAGAGAAACAGACTAAATAAAAAGAGAGTAGCGAATTAAACGAGAGAGATCGGCACCGCATTCCTTTATGCCTGTAGCGCAACGCAGACGTCGCAAAGTTGTCCCTTTATTTATCGCGTCGGGATTCGACCTACGTGCTCGTTTCCGTCTCATTCTAGCAACATTGAAGCACTACAGAAGAAGAAGAAAGAAACAGAACGGTAGATATTTCCATATTAACTGACGCATGCTGATGTTTACGTAGATAAACATAACCTCAGTTCACTTCTAGGAAATAGCTATTTACCCAACAAGTGCGGAAAAATATTTTCCGCAAGTGTTAGGTACAATATTTTTCCTACAGGCGAAAAAATGTAAAATTTTTCTTTTTTTTTTTTTTTGACATATCAGTGCGGTAAAATTTTTTTCGCACTGACAGCCGTGCGGAAAAACTTTTTCCGCACTGATATGTCAAAAAAAAGTTTTACCGCACCGTGCGGGAAAATTCATTTTCCGCACGCATATCAGTGCGGAAAATCGATTTTTCCGCACGGCTGTAGGAAATAGTATATTTCCTAACAAGTGCGGAAAGTGCCACTTTTCCGCACGCGATTGCAGTTTGCCGAACGACGCGTAGCGGAGTTCGGCAAGCAATCAAGTGAGGAAAAGAGACTTTCCGCACGAGTTAGGAACACTATTTTTTCTACGAGTTAGAAGGAACGTACCTACGTAATGTAAATTTTAACACCAATATTTGAGAATATTTCTTCTTCAACACCTGGTATTAAAAACAAATCGAGTAATTTTTTCTTAATATAAATAAGGTACTTTTACAAATAAAACTCATTTATTTATTAATAAAAAAAAACAAACTAATTCTGAAATAATGTGCCTTATTCTGAAGACAATAAAATCCAGAAATTTTAACAATAATTTGTACGTTTGATGTATCTACTATGAAATTTTCGAAATTTTTAAGCATAAAGTAACCATTCTATAGTAATTTCACAAGAAAAGTTGAGTTTAAACCAAAATAATTTAATAAATAACGTTATTGTGTCAATAATTCTCAATGCTGATATTTGTGTAAGTGTGTCAGCTCATAATTTAAAAATTGACATCTGTCACTTCATCAAAAACTTTTTTCCGCACTAGGGCGGAAAAGTGAAACTTTCCAAACTAAAATGCGTGCGGAAAAGTGTACTTTTCCGCACCCTCGTAGAAAAAATATTTTAAAAAATAATTTTCTATTTTTCCATTAATTATCAGGTCAACAATTGTAATATAAGAAATGTAAACAAAGGGCTTCCGAAGTTCCGAGAGCTCTCATAATTGTGTGAGTTATATTGTAAGACCCTATGTTATCTTTATACTAATAATTCTCCTTTCCTATGTTAATTATTAGCGTACGCCTATGTCAATACTAATAAATATATAAAACTGCTTAATCAGCGGTACTGCACTGGTAGTACCGCCACCTGCATAGGAAAATGCTTGGATCAGCAAATATTTATTATTTAAGCCAGAGCTTTCCAGTAAGGAGCGTTCATTTGTTTTCAGGCACTCCCTGTAGCAATTTGATCCACATATTTTCCGATTGTCACTATTGTATTTTAATTAATAAAATAAATGTTTTTTAAAAATACAAGTTTCTGAATCGAAAATATAATTGGCGCAAGTCGGTGCGGATGTTATTCAGAGTGCTATAGAGTCCAGAGATTGAATTTTCGAAAAAGTTTAATCCAATTCGTTCCACTTTTTGAAAAAATTAACTGAAGAAAAGAAGCAACAAGATCAACGTACAAAGTTAAAAGTGTTACAGTTTCAAGCATCGTGCCTTGAAATGTAATCCCTTTTTCCTATAAATTGTATTTTGTAATTGGTGTTTCATAATTAAGTTCTTTTGAAAAATTTCTTTTTTTTGAGTTTTTTATCATAAAAAATTTTTCAATTTCAATTTGTTTTGGCATTGAGACCAAATACAAATAAAATAATTTTAAGCAAGTAACCTACGAGACTCAATAATAAATTTAAAACTTTAATTTTTGATTTTTTACGAAAAAAATACATTTCCAATTTTTAGTTTTTAAACTTCAGGAAACTGAATAATTAATTAAAAACTTTAATTTCTAAATGTTTTAGAGAAAAAAATTCCAATTTTTTCGTATTTTATTTTCAATTTTCGAGAAACTGATTGATTTTAGACTTAGAAAATTTTTCAAGGAAAAAAATAAAATTTCCAATTTTTAATTTTTAAACTTCAAGAAACTGAATAACTAATTAAAAGCATTAATTTCTAAATGCTTTAGAGAAAAAAATTCCAATATTTTCATATTTTATTTTCAATTTTCAAGAAACTGATTGATATTGGAAAATTTTTCAAGGAAAAAAATAAAATTTCCAATTTTTTTATTTTTATTTTCAAGAAACTGAATAATAAATTGAAACCTTTAATTTTTTGATTTTTTGAGGAAAAATAAAATTTCCAATTTTTTTATTTTTCCAACTTTAACTTTCAAATAACTGAATAACCTAATAAGCCTCTATACTTCAATTTTGAATCTTTAAAGAAAAAAATTAAATTTCTAATTTTTTTTTGATTTTTTAATTTTAAGCGAAACATAAAAATTCTAATTTTGAATTTTTTCTAGTTTTAATTTTAAGAAAGTAAACTTTTAGATTTTAAAGTAGAATTTAATTTTAAAAATATAATTAACGACTAAATTAATACGTAATTTAAAAGAAAAATATAATTGATAACTAAATAATTCATTTTAAAAATATAATTGATAACTAAATACTTGGTTCATTTTAAATTTTTAATTTAGGAAAAAATATATCAATTACGATTTATTTCCATAAATTATGAATTGGGTATTAGATACACTCAATTATGAATTTTTGAATTTTTTTGAATTTTTGAATTTTTTTGATTTTTAATTTTCAAAAAAAAAATAATAATAATAACAGATTTTTTTGAAAAACTCTTCTTAATTTTCTATTATAAATAATTTTTTCCAATTTATTAATTTTCAGAAAAAATAATAAATTTTTGGATAAAGTATTTTTTATTTTCTATCTATAAATAAGCATATAATTCAAAAAATACATGTCAGATTCTGAAGAGGAAATACAGGACCTCTTAACCCAATTTAACTTAACTCATTTATATAATCCAAGTTCTAATAATTCGTTAAGAAATAATAATCATCAACCAAGAACCATGGGCGAGAATTTGAAATCTATTGTACAATTACTTAAGCCTTTTGGTGGCGAAAAGCAATACTTAGAATATTTTATTAGTAATATCGAAGAATTTTATAACACATATTATACTGGCGAAAATGCACAGAAAGAATATGTTATAACAGCGATTAAATCAAAATTAATCAATGAAGCAGGAAACTTCCTTATGTCACGTCCTGACTTAAAATCATGGACTGATATAAAGAACGCTTTAAGATTGAAATATGGAGACCCATATTCTAGACAAAACTTAGTACAAGAATTAATGTATACTACTCGAAATATTAAAGAGAATATTTTTGATTATTTAGAGAGATTAAAAAAGTTTAAATCATAGAATAACTTCTAAGATAATGAGTGATCAAAATTTAGTTGCAGTAGCAAATGTTTTGGTAGACCAAAATGAAATAAGGGCAATCCAAAATTTAGTCACAAACTCTCCTGTTGAATTAAGAACAATTTTAATGGTGCAAAATCCACTAACTTTAGATGCAGCTACAGGTTGCGTATTAAATTATCAATTAGCTGAAAACCATATGAAATTTAATAATTCAATTAATAAAAATAATAATACACACACTTCATACACTAATTTACAACAGAAAACACAATTCCCTCAAAGACAATTTGTGTAAACACAGTTTCCACAGAAACAATTTCAACAATCACAATTTCCCTCACAACCTATTAATATTCAGCCAAGAGCGAATTATCAACAAAAATACCCAACTAGTTCACAAACTTTTGGAAAAAACTTTAACAAACAATCAAATGTATTTAAGAAAAATACAAATCAACAATTTC